TTTATGATATACCTTTATATACTTCTAATGAGTCGAGAAATAGAGATAGACATGAGAAGAATGAACAATAATTGAATAGAACTAAGAAGTAAAGCCCAGGACAAAGTCGGTTGGATAATGCTTGTCGGTAGCCTATGCTCCACTTGGAGTAACTGGCGTAAGTAAGTAAGTAAGTAAGTAATGAATCGATCATTGTATGAAGAAACAAACTTCTTTATTTGACGGTACCATTATGTTTATTCACTGGTATTTCTTTTCATAAAATTTAGTCCGATCGAGAGAAGTTAGAAGGTTTACCAGTAGCACCATTTATGGATCGTGAAAAAGTCACTAAACCATCAGCACAAATTGGTTTCATCAAATTTGTCCTCATTCCAATGTTTCAAACGGTGGCAAGTGTAAGTGTTTACAACCTTATTTTCGATTATATTTTATGTAAATTGTTCTCAATAATCCGATCAGATTTGTAGGGAAATAAATACAACCAGTGAAACTAGGAAGTACTGAACAGCTTTCTAGTCTTAGTACAGAATTTCTTAGTAGTGTACATCTACGACCTGCTGAAGATCCAACTCAAAGCCTTCAGGTTACATGACAAGCCTTTGAATTGTAGACCACTAAGTCATCACTGGTGACAATTCCCGCACTAATATGGAATAGGCTACAAGTTTTCCATTTCTTTTACGGTTGTTTAAGTCATGTCAATCCATGATCTAAACTGTCAAGTTTAACCATCTCCATAGTATTCCATATATTTAGTTGAATACACTATACTACTCATTAAAAAATATCATCAAAAGAATTATTGCAGAAATTTTTAAAAACATACCAGATAATTGTGTGAATTATGTATATATAGTTCATTACGTAATTGTTTTAAATAATGTGTTTATTCAGATGATAATTTCTACTAATGATGTCCACAATAGACGGAAGGATAAGTTGAATTCATGAGTCTATTAAAGCTAGACAGCCATGGAAAACCTGCAAGCACTAAACGGCCGTTTCTTCCTAGTATAATACCGATAGGTCGTGGGTTCGAATCTTGCAAGACGGGATCGTGTATGTACACTGCTAAGGTGTCTCATACTAGGATGAAATGGCCGTCCAGTGCTTCCAAATTTTCCATAGTGGTCTAACTTCAACTGACTCATGGTCTCAACTAGTGAGATTATTATGTATTTATAGAAATTTTCTTTAGATAAATCGTTATTATAAACCTCAATTTCAAGCGTATCGAATTTGTGTGTTTGAACACTTCAATTGAATAAACGATAATTTATTAATAAGAGAAGTCGAGGGTTCTCTATAAGAAATGGAACAGAGTAAAGATATAATTGAATGAGGGTTATGAATAGAAGTTTTTAAAATGAAGTTCAAAAGAATCAGGATACAAAATGACTTCTACTTGGGACATAGTGAATACAAAAGGTGAATAAATCTCTTTTATACACATTAGTTTCAATGGATATCAATGGTTTTGGCCATGTAGAAAAGATTTATTCATGTAGTTTTTAATAACTGACACTGGAAACTATGCAAGACCTTTCCTCCATACAGGGTTTTCATTTATCAAATGAAAAATACTAACATTATTTACTAATTGTTTAAAGTCTTTTCATCATCAAGAAGCTATATATTCTTGTGTATGCAAGGATTATGCCCATTTTGATGGAGTTTTGTTCTCTTAGCTGGATGGCTCGGTCATGGAGTTTTCATAGTGCTTCTGAACGACATCATCAGCACAAACTTCAAATAGAATCCATCCACCTGAGATACAAATCTTCTCCACCATCTCAAGGGTTATGCCCTTTGAACACGGCCTATGTAACCAACTCTACAGTAGTTAATTTGATAAAAATATATTAATAAACTTATCATCTTTTACTATTGTACCAGTATATGCGTTTTTGCGATGACATCGAACTTAATGACAGTGAACTTAAACTAGTGGAGATTTGTAGCTCAGGTAGACGATATTGATGGAGTTTTGTCCACTGAACTGGATGGTTTGGTCATGGAGCTTTCATCGTTCTTCTGAACGACATCATCAACACAAACTTTAAATAGACGTGAAGCGTTCAAATTTCTCCACGTGTGGTTCACAGCTTGTCTTATGTGCAATCAGGAAAATTATGCACAAACATAAGAACAAAAATCAAACCAATCGGAGGTACAACCGAAACAAAGAAGTAAAAAATGAAAGGTTTAAGGTCAATAAGAACCAATCAACATCTAGGTGTACAAGACAAGCTATGAATCACAAGTGGAGAATTTCGTACGCTTCACTTCTACCTGAAGTTTATGCTGATGATGTCGTTCAGAAGAATGATTAAAGCTCCACAACCAAACCATCCAGTTCAGAGAACAAAACTCCATCAAAAGTGAACTTGAATGCTATGTCATAGCTACATCACCTTTAATTTAAAGTCTTAAGTCGACAGTTCTCTTATTCAGTTTTCATATACTCATGTATATACGCTTTATCTATTTTGTTTCTATGTTTTCCTATTTTTTTAATTCATATTCCAATGAAATTTCCATTAAGGTTTATCCAATTATTGATGAACTTATGGTAACTCAATTGAAATCAGCATTAGAACGTTATGAAAAGATGTTGGCTGAAGAAGAAGAAACAAAACGTAACTTACAAATGAATGAAGCAGATTAATACTTTAATAAAAGACATGCTGAACTGATTCACACACACACGCACACACATGCACACTCACATGCATACAATCAAGAATTTTGTATACGTGAACATAAAGGTGATAATTTTTGGCTTCCATTCTCAACTTAATAAAATAATCATGTTGTCTTTTCCAAATGATTGTCGTTTTTCTTTTGTAAAATACTACTTAGAAAAACTGTAACTAGTGCAGGTGGCTATCAGAATTTAATATCTAAGTGGATAACGCGAACAATACTGGGTTCAGGTTCCAGAGTGAACATCAACCCTCAAGTGCAGGTACATTCGGCTGATGAGTCCCAAATAAGACGAAACGCATGTCAAACTGGATTCCATTGCTAACCACTATCCATCTTTGTTTATAACGCTTGTGAATTAAGGCAATATTGAGGCTATCCGCTCAAGATGCACGTATGCCAACAAGAGACTGATCAATTGCAGTTCTACACAACAATGGGAAGATACAAGTAAACATTACCAAGTTAATGTAACTAGTGCAGTTCATTTATGTCGGGATTGAGACATGTATCATAGATAAAAATGAATATGAATCACAAAATACAACGAATCAATTAGAGTCGAGAATATTCTATATTGAATAGCCGATTGTGTCATTAAAGTACAAAATAAAAACAATTCGGGTAGGAGAATTTTCTTCTCAACGAGATCATTTACTTGAGTTGTACATGCACATCTACAGTTGTTTGGCAAATATATAGGTCTGGAGAAGGATAGAAAAGATTGCATCATGTAGCGATTCAAGACTTCAAATATCAAATATGGTGACATAATAATCACGGAGTTAGAGAAGAATAGGTGAATGAAAATAATTTATGGGTCAGAATTATGAAAGATAATTGTCCGCTTGATAGATATGAAGAATCAATGTAAAACACAATGGTCATTATAGTAACTGAATGATGATCATGAAAAATTGTTAAAGGATAATAATAACTGGTTACGATGGAGTTTTTTCCTCTGAGCTGAATAGTTTGATCGTGGCGCTTTCATCACTCTTCGGAGCGACATCATCAGCACAAACTTCAGGTAGAAGTCTCCACGACCAAACAATCCAGCTCAGAGAACAAAACTCAATCAAAATCATGCACCTGAGCTACAAAACGTTTCCACCATCTCATAACTGATTACGTTTTGCAATCAAAAAATAATGATGAAAACAATGATGCATAAACCTATCACTTTTCAAACTCATCTCATAACATTATCTGGTGTTGTTTCTAAAATGAGAATGCATAACAATCACTAGTGCAATACAAGAACACCTGATCAATTCTGAACACGTTGCTTCAAAGAAGTTTTCATCCAGAATAATCTACATAATCCAAAGAGCTGAGTCGAAGAGGGGTTGAATCACGAACTTATGCACTGTTGAGACGTTGACGATCCACCAAATAAAGTCCGAACTCTGCGAGTTAAAACAAGCCTCTCATCATTCCTTTGCCCTAATTCCCTTTTTTAGTATGTTTTGGTCTTGTTTTGTTTTATTAATCGTCTTTAAATTATAATCTGCAATCAGCTATTATTAACCTTTAACAATCATCATGCTCATCATCTAGTTACTATAAAGACCATTGTGTTTTACATTGATTCTTCATATCTATCAAGCGGACAATTATCTTTCATAATTCTGACCCATAAATTATATTCATTCACCTATTCTTCTCTAACTCCGTGATTATTATGTCACCATATTTGATATTTGAAGTCTTGAATCGCTTCATGATGCAATCTTTTCTATCCTTCTCCAGACCTATATATTTGCCAAACAACTGTAGATGTGCATGTACAACTCAAGTAAATGATCTCGTTGCGAAGTAAATTCTCCCCCCCCCCGAATCCACCTTATTTTCATTAAATAATCAATGAATTAATTATAAGGTAGAGTGTTTTCAATCAGTTCTGGTAGGTGTTGAGTTCAATCCCTCCAAGGTTTCGAGTGTATAGGGAGCTGAGAAGTTCTATTCTAAAATGAAATAGCTTTCTAGTGCTTCTTAAATGTACATTGGTCGACTAACTAAACATCGATTACTGATATTAACCACAAAAGTTATGACGTTTGCTCGGTGGATATAAGTTATGGCGTTCTTAGTTAAAGGTACTGGGTTAGAGTCTCCATGTGAACATCATTAGTGGGATGCAGACACGTCGAGGTGAAGCTTATCAAATGAATCGTGACCTGTGGCTCCCACTTCTAGCCACTGTCCAACATTATCAAAATATTTGTGGCTAGCTGGTGACAGTGAGATGATTCCCTCCGAATGTGTGTATGAAAAAAGTGAGTGATAAACTACAGTCCTTAACACTGACAACGGTAAAATACAAACTCCTACAAGCAAAATTTATTAAGAAAGACTACAATATTACCAACTTAAGAACATTTACCCTGATGGCCTCAAATGGTAGTTAACAATAAAAGCTTTCAGCTATTTTAAATGCATCGTCAACATCATACTCTTGTTGTTCCTGTTAAGTAGTTGAGGAAATATTAAATCAATGAACATGTTTCAGTGGTTTTATAATTTATAGTTCAAAATATTTGTTGAAAGTTTTGACTACTTAATTAGTCATCAAAGTAACATAAATTGAAATGTTAAAATGTACGGGACAGTTAAAAACCTCGTAATATTGGTCGAAATGCCATTGAAGCAATTCCACACATATTCCAATTGTTACGAAGTACTTTCACGTAACCTTGTTCACCCCAATTTGTCCCCCAATTATTTTGTAATATCCAGTAATCGTTACCATCATTATCATAACCGTAACCAACAAGTAACATACTTTGATTTAAATTATAATGTGTACATGTATCAGATTGATATATTCCTGACCTGAAAAAAAAAGTGGATTACAAACTGAACTTATTGTGAAACGAATTCATATCTGAGTCGTAATTTTCTTAAACACCCACAAATCGAATGGGAAATTGATACATTCAGATGAGGTTAAGGTTAATAAAATTAGAGACTACAAGAATAAAGTTATTTAATTAATTGAATCCCGGTTCAGTGATCTAGAATTTGAGCGTTCACGTGTGAAGCTGAGGGTCCTGGATTCGGACCCTGGTCACAAGATCGTGGGCGAAACGGCTGTCCATTACTTTCATACTTTCTATGGTGATCTAACCAAGATTAATCAAGGGATTCAAAACCCATGAAAATTGTACCATCTCCACTAAACCCTACACTGAAAATGAATTAAACTTTCAATTAGTTAAATAATTTATTTGCCATCAAGAATTGGCTGAGATTAGATATGTAAACTTCCGAAGCTAAATTCAGTGTTCTAAAACTTGGTGTACTAATTGAGTACTTATAATTGAGTTTAAATCATCCGTGGGTTCACAACTGTTCTAGGATGAAGACTTCGAATCTACTTGTAAACAAGTGATAAATGTTATAAAGTGTATCCCCTAGTCAATAAGCAAACATAACAATATTTTAGCTTCACAATGAATGTGTTCATATTTCTAAAATCAATAAATTAACAAAACTCTTTTTTGTGTTCGTTAACTTGAATGCTACTACTGATGATTCGTCTTACTCGGAACGGAACGAAAAATCAAGAATTCAGAGACTCGATTGGCTATACTGGTCCGTTGTCCCCGACTCAGCTAACTCGATCCAGAATTCTTGGTAAGATGTAGAAAGTGTATTCTACAGACAACCAGAAGATACCAGGACCCTCAAGCACACAAATCAAGCGTATTTATACAAAATATATATGGTCGACATTGCCATGGAAGTTTTTAAACATTTAATCGATAAGTTTTGGTTGAGGTCATGAATTAATTGATGTTAGACCACCCTTGGAAACCTGGAAGCACTGGACGGCCGTTTCGTCCTACTGTAGGACTCAGTGGTCCAGTTGGTTAAGCGTTCGCGCGCGAGACCGAAGGCCCTGGGTCCGGATCCCGCTCGCGGGATCTTGGATGCGCACTGTTGAGGAGTCCCACAGTAGGACGAAACGGCCGTCCAGTGCTTCCAGGTTTCCAACGGTGGTCTAACACCAATTAATTCATGATCTCAACCAAAACTTAACAATCTCCACAACCCCCATACTGACATTTAATCGATAAGTTCGTCAATCGACTTTGTGCGTGGGTGGTAAGTAATGCTCATGCATACATCTGTATACAAGCTCCATAAAGATAAAATTGTCCCCAACACTGTCTAAAAGAAAAATTATCATTCACACCAATCAAAGATATCTATCTTACTAAGATTAAACAATTTTCCTCTACGTCCTACTTTTCAATGTTTATCTATCTAAAATTCTGTTCATGTTACGAACGCTCTTCGAAACTATATAATTATAACGATTCATTCATGCACATGGTCGCCGAAAATCACCAAGCTGCATCACAAGGCAAGCACTAACTTAGAATCCTGAAGGGAACTGGAAAAGAAGAAGGCCAAAGAACACATTACGTCGGGAAATAGAAACAGATATGGAAAGGATGAATAACAACTGGAAATGACTGGAAGGGATTGCCCAAGACAGGGTTGAATGGAGAGTACTGGTGGGTGACCTATGCTCCTCCACAAAGAGTAACAGGCCTAAGTAATTAAGTTTCATACACATTATTTCCAATACAACAGATAAATCTCCTTTGTGAATTTCAATCTCTCTCTGTCTCTCTCTCGCACACACACACACACTTACGTTATGATGAATATACTCACTTATAATGTAAAAACTTTTCATCAATATTCATTGAAATTACATATGGACCTTCATTGTACACTGCCCATTTCAAAATTGTTTCATAACCATGTCGATGAAATTTATAACCAATCGATTGAACAATCACATCGGAACTATTTGCTAGACAATCTTGATCCTTGAAAAAAAAATTTACAAAAAAAACACAATACAAAACAAATAAACAAACAAAACAGATCAGCTACAATGAAAATCGCAATCATATTTACAGAGTTAACAATAAATTGATTAGATATTCTTTTCACTGGAATATTTAAGAGATGAAATATCAATGAATGAAGATTAAATTAAATTCACTTGGTGTTGTTCCCTTGTATCTTCCGATTGTTGTATAGAACTGCAATTAATCAGTCTCTTGTTGGCATATGTGCATCCTGAGCGAATAGTCTCGGTATTGCTTTAACTCACAAGCATTATAAACAAAGATGGATAGTGGTTAGCAATGGAATCCAGTTTGATGAGCGTTTCGTCCTATTTGAAACTCACCAGTCAGATGTACCTGCATCTGAGAGTTGATGTTCACTATGGGACTCAAACCCAGAGCCTTTCGTTTGCACAAGCAAGTGGCCATCAGGACTCACTATCTAAGTGGATAACATGATGGCGTTTAAAGTGAGCAGTACTGGGTTCGAGTCCTGGAGTAAACATCAACTATGTGATACAGATACATCCAACCGATGAGTCTCAAATAAGACGAAACGCACATCAAACAGGATTCCACTACTAACAACTATCCATCTTTGTTTATCTATCGGTAAGTATTCATAAATTCAGACATTTGAAATTTTGTTGAATATACTTTTTGTTGTTGGCCAAAGTAAACGGTACTTCTAATCCTTTCTAAATAAATTAAAAAAAGAACAAAACTGATTTGGCAGTTAATCAATATTGTTATAAGCTTATCATTTTCTTTGTTATTTTAAACCAGACTGAAAATAAACTACTATTTTATAACAAAGAAATTCACATTCAAGAGACTCATTCAATGTGGTTTCATCTAGTTTTACATCTATTTTGTTCGGTCATTCATATCACTTAATCAATTCTCATATATTTTAACGAGTATAATAACAGACAATGATTGAAGTGAAACTCTAGTTATTTGCATTTTCACCAGCCGATCTATGACAACCACTGAAAGACCAAAAGCACTAGATGGCCGTTTCGTCCTAGTATGAGACTCTTCAGCAGTTCGCATTCATGATCCTACATAAGAGATTTGAACCCAAGACATTTGGTCTCATGTGCAAACGATTAACCTCTAGATTAATGAGCCAGTATCCGATGGTGTTAATCAATTATTACTGAATGAATAAGACATAAGAATTACTAACCATTTATTATTGAACAATAGTGAATTAATTTAAACCGCTACACTGAAATGACTGGTTTTTATCCAATATACCCTTTGCTTATATGTACAATACTGAATTAAAGATCAACATCTTTCATTCATCAGAGAGTCCTTCTTCCTTTCTATCTCTCTCTCTCTCTCTCTCAATCAGATGGAATAGTTAGATTATCTACCTATTGAATGTTCAAATTACATGAATAATTGAAATTATTATATAATAGAATTATAGGGTCGTTTACGAGAAATAATGAACAGTCTCTTCATATTGATCATTCATAACAGATTGATTATCATTTTCAACATAAAAAAACTATCCAAGCTAATTATGTTCACAGAGGAAACTGACAGTTATTGATTGAGATCTTGACCCGATTAATGTTAGACTACCATTGAAAACGTGGAAGAACTAGACGGCTGTTTCGTCCCATTTTAGGACTCTTCAGGAGTGCGTCTCAAAATAGGACGAAACGGTCGTCCAGTGCTTTCAGGTTTCCAATGGTGGTCTAACATCAATCGATTCAAGATCTCAATCAATGACTTGATAATCTCCACAACCCTATACTGATAAAAACTAACAGTGTTGCTGACTTTGAACGTTTTTCTGGAGTCTTAAGGTGCCTATAGATTTAAAGCACTAAACTAAAAGGAAAAAAAATTGTCTAATGTTACATGATTCATGATCACAATTGAAAGTCGCATTCATAAGCATACTCCATATCAATTAAAAATCATGCATAATGTTAAGTATTAGTTAATGAAATCAATTATTTCCAACTTACCTCACCCGTAAAAGGATAATTCTCTTCTGTTTCTAATCCAAAATTTTGTAAATAAATAAACAATGTAAATGTGTAGCCACCATGACATCCCATATTACCATATATACGTGTACAATCAATAAACTGTTGTACAGAAAAGTTTTTTCGATTGGATGTACGTAAAGCATATTGAGATTCAGTTACAGCTGTTACAGCAAATGCATAAGAACCAATGCATGATCCCTGACAGATGAAAACAAATTAGGTAATAAAAAGAAGAAAACAGTATACACGCATAGATAGATAGATAGATAGATAGATAGATAGATAGATAGATAGATAGATAGATAGATAGATAGATAGATAGATAGATAGATAGATAGATAGATAGATAGATAGATAGATAGATAGATAGATAGATAGATAGATAGATAGATAGATAGATAGATAGATAGATAGATAGATAGATAGATAGATAGATAGATAGATAGATAGATAGATAGATAGATAGATAGATAGATAGATAGATAGATAGATAGATAGATAGATAGATAGATAGATAGATAGATAGATAGATAGATAGATAGATAGATAGATAGATAGATAGATAGATAGATAGATAGATAGATAGATAGATAGATAGATAGATAGATAGATAGATAGATAGATAGATAGATAGATAGATAGATAGATAGATAGATAGATAGATAGATAGATAGATAGATAGATAGATAGATAGATAGATAGATAGATAGATAGATAGATAGATAGATAGATAGATAGATAGATAGATAGATAGATAGATAGATAGATAGATAGATAGATAGATAGATAGATAGATAGATAGATAGATAGATAGATAGATAGATAGATAGATGGCCCAAATACTTTAGTGAATAAGTTACTAAGTATGGTTTTAGTTGGTTAAGTCTTTGATCTGACTAAAAATATCATTTCCCCTAATATTACAGACCATATTAAACTGAGATTGATGGTTTCCAGTAGGTTGCATCTAACCACTTAGGAACACCTAGGTGAATTTTAATGAAATATCAAATGGGGTAACGTAAGATACGTATACCTAGAAATTTGCAATATCACAGAAATTATGACTTTTCAGTATTTAATTTACATAAAGAACATATATAAATATAATCATTATTGTTGGATGTCAGTCATGGCTCGGATAGCCCAGTGATAACATCTCTGACTGTGAAGCTGGTGACACAGGACCGAATACGTCAGGGAGCACCAGTTCCCTCAAGATTAGAGGTCACACCTTGCTGACGAGTGCCAAATAGCACAAAAATCGGATCCAAGGTTTCCTGTTGACTACCTCCAACCGCCATCTTATCTCATTATTGTTACTTAATAAGTAATTAACTAACATCTTACTTCATCTCTTGGTTCATTCACAACATTCAAATGACGCCAATCATATGAATCCGGTGTCCAACCAATATTATTCACATCATAATCTTCTTCAATAAAAGATGATTCAGGAATGATTAATCTCTTGTCAAATTTATACATTGAACAAAATTCATTCCATTCAATATCGGTAAATCGACTTAAACCAATAGAATATGTTTCAAAGCCTAAATCATAACGTAAATTATGCAATTGAATTTTGATTAGATTCTTATTCCAAATTCTTTGTCGAATCAATTCTTCATTTGGATCATTATATTGTTTAGCATATAGAGATTTCCATTTCTTCCATAATTCATTAAATTTCAATGTTCTATTTGAATGGACATTATATGATAATATATGTAACATAATCAGTAGTATTATGATGAACTTCATTGTAAATGTCTTCAGAAGAACTTCGTGATGACGTTATAGTTCATTTATATAAATGTACATTTATACATGCAAATATAGTCTGAAATGATTGTGTACTTTGAGATATGTACGCTGAAACACTTGTGAATGGTGATTAGAAAATGATGTTTTCATATAAATGAAGGATATGGTGTGTGTGTGTGTGTGTGTGCTTGCGTTCGACAAATTGTTGGACTTTATTCAATGAGCAGTACTTTTCATTGATTAAATAATTGGTTTTAGACTATTTAGAATTATTAAAGATTTTGTTTGAATATATATATGTATTACGAAAGGCTTCAATCGATCACAGTGAAGTACTCAGGAAAGCACCTGACCATGCTGATGGAGGACCTAAACATCAAAGTCAGAATGGACAACATTGGGTATCAAGATATCATGGGACGATATGGACTGATTGGAAGTAACCAACGAGAATAATGACAGATTTGTGAATTTATGAGCATTCAACGAAATGGTTATAGGTGACACAATATTCCCGCACAAACCCATTCAAAAAGCTACATGGGTCAATCTCACCAGATTACACTACAGAGAACCAGATCGATCATATTTGCATCAGTAAAAAAGTCAGCAGGTCAATGGAAGATGTGAGAACAAAGAAAGGAGCTGACATAGTTTTAGATCACCATCAACCTGGTGGTTTTGTAGATGAAACTGAAGCTAAAGAAGCACTGGACAACTGGAGAAACAGAATTACAAAGGTTCGATTCAGACTTCCTTCAACATACTGACAAACTCGATCAACAACAGGTTCAAAGCCTTACAGAATATACTGAAAGAAGATAAGAAAACTATTATAAAAGAAAACGTGTCAGGAGGTGACGGGAGGCGGCAACGAACACCATCATAAGGAATACATCTCTATCGAAACCCTGGACAAGATTCAAGAAAGGAATGATAAGAAGGCAGTCGAACAAGAACAGAGAACATTAAGGCATTAGCTGAATACACAGAATCAAACAAGTAAGTGAATAGGAGTACTCGAGCTGACAAAGAGAAATACGTAGAAGACCTAGAAACAACATAGATCAGATTCCGTAAAGATCGTTCGGGAAAAGGTCAAATCACGATACTATGGATCATCGTTGAACAATCAATTGAATGCAACTCACCACTATGTATCAACTTCATTGACTATGAGAAGGCGTATGACAGTTTGAATAGAAGAAACTTGTGGAACAATCTTCGACACTACGGAGTGAGTAACTAAGAAGATCGTCAACATCATTTGGAATTCAGATGGCGGAATATACTGCAAAGTTATGCATGGACGACAACTGACCAAACTCATTCCAAATAAGGGCTGGAGTCAGGCAATGCTGTTTACTAACTCCTGCTTCTAACTCATGTATTAAAGCATCAGAACGACCAATTAAGTACTTTTCTTTAATTTGAGTTTGAAAATTCTTGAGATTATATACATAAAATGTCAACATTAAACCAGAGAAAGATGATAGTTATTATTAAAGAATAACTCAGTTCTATCCTAACTTTGTACTGAAGATGTTGTCTAGAAAGACGATGAAATCTTCACGAATAAACTATTCAGGTTAGAGAATGAAATTCCATCAAAAAAATACCTCAAAAGCTGTATATACACCTAGGTTTTTTATGTAGCAGCTTTCGTTTATCGAAATGAAGTATAAATATTTTCACTTTAATCACAATTGATCGCCATCCAGTGATCAATTGTCATTACATCTCAGTCCTACAGGACGTTGGTCGCGGCATGGATAGCTCAGTGGTAAGGTCTCCGACTGAGAGCTTTAGTTCAAAATAATTCAACGCGTAGGTTTAGTACAATTTCAATAGAATAATATCTATTTCTTGTTCAGTCGCTGAGCCAGCGCTCGCTTTCAACTAGGATACGGGAACACGTCCTAGTTTGGTTCTACAAGGGTGACAGGAAAGCAGTTAAAAGTTCTATACTTGAATACCGAATCAACTGTAATCATTCTACGGATTCACAGTTTGATTTTAAGGTTGTATATATGATTCATTCAAATCTACCTAGATTTCTTCGTATCCAACTCCTTAAAATAACCGAAACTCTTACCATCCATGAGCTCAAACTAGAACTATGAGTACAAAAGGAGTACGTCTTATCGTTATCGTTACTTTGGCCTTAATTAATATTATTATTATTACTACACTTCCCGCTTTACTGATGTGTCACATTCTCATTGTCCTATTCATAAGTGCTCATGATATCATTTTACTTATTTATTACACCTCTATTGTAACAGAAGCACTTTGATCATCTTATTACATTCACGTTATAATTCCTTAATAACTTATTACATCTATTGTTATTATTCGTATTGCGTAATCTAGTATTGTAATCTTCCTATTATGTCATCTTCATCATACCTTGTTCACATTTTACTTATAGAAGTAGTACTTTAACAATTGTACAGCTTGATAATAAATTCGTTGAAAAGAGAGAGATCCCTTCGTTGAACTGATATATCTATTTGAGTATTTAGACCATCGTATTACGTCCTTAATCTGTCTACCCAGTTTTGGTGCTGAGGATAACTTGTCTAATCTAGATTAAGACCTTGACGAGATAGGCTGACCATCTTAACCTTGAGGCTAGTACGCGTGAGTTCGAATTGAGGTAGGAAGAAGAAAACTATCCTGTCACCTGATTGGCTGACAAGCACGCGAGTGACAGAAGGCATGACAACCGGAATACTACTTGATTTATTCCCGATTTCCCGATTTCAGATTAATGTAAAAAGATACATGAATAAATAGATGACTAACCCGACCACAACGTACAATAATTAGGAAAATACAATCATGTTCAAAACTGGGGATTAGTGTAGAAAATAGGGTGCAAAATACTATGTTTAAATTACAGTAGCTTTGGAACAAAAAGGGATATGGCAATGAATGACACACCGAACGAAAGCTCATGTTCTGTAGAGTAGACTATGGACAAAAATAAATGTTACTGTTTTACAAGCTTTGAATTAACTGCAATAACGTCCTGAAGAATAGCTTTCATGGTTTATCAATGCTTCTTGTTTCTCTGTTCACATCAATTTGTATATATATACATCTCAGTCAATACAACCAGATCCATAACTATACAAGACCATTGAATCAACTATTTAAATTCCCTACAAATTTTAATAGTAGTAAAACATAAGAATATAAATCATTCTCATTATGAAAATGAATATGTGTAGGCTACATTATAAATTGAACATTTTCCATATGTATATGGTTGACTAACTTAATCAATGAACAATTTTTTATTAAAAAAAAAATCAGTCAACTTTCATTATGTGGTATACCTAATTAAGCATAGTTACTCTATAATTGAGTAGTCACTACCAAGTAGGCAGTTAATTGTAAATATATCTCAGCTCTACAAGAGGTCATTAGCAGCTCAAAACAGCTCTAAGATAACGTTCCTGACTGTGAAATCAGGTGATATAGGATCAAATCTACCAGATAGTATCAATTCCTTTAAGATTTCTAACGAATATCATATAGTATGAAACCCGGATCCTGGATTTTCCATTGGTTATCTTCAATCACCATATTACATCTACATATGGTCAATTCTATTACTTCAGTCAACTTTTGTTCATTTTTAAAACTTAATCTATGTTATGACTTTTATCATGTTAATTATCATCAATCCAAATACCTTATTCTTGTGCTAAACAAATGACACGTCAAAACAGCACTAGAAGCCTTGTGTCAATTCTGAATCCTTATTGGTCCTTCTTGCCTAGCTCTGCCCAATTGAGTCCAGAAAGCAATCTCAGCCTCTAATGTATAAATCATATATTTCAGATATAAGTACTTTACATACAAGCAAACCAGACCGCATCATACTATAAAATATAAAAAAATAACAATTATACAAGATCAGTCCAAAAGTGACTGTGAGTGTAAGAGAATGTAACTAATTGATTAGAAATAACTTGAGAATAGTAAACCATGTAATAATAGTCAATAGGTCAATTGAAAGCTTATGGTGAACGAAATATAAATGTACATAATCTAGTTACTTAACAGTCATATCCTGGTGCACTGAAGGCGAACACAGGTGAGGACAATCGGACCTTACTCAGCACATCACAGAGTTACTTGGTAAAATAGAAAAAACCATACTATAATACCTAATTGGCAAAATGTTCAGTAATTGTCTCGGACTTCATTTCTATACTAATGGCTTTCTATTCCCGTTCTTACTTTCTTGATCTTCCCAATCTTTTGCTGCCAGACATTACATATCTGACTCGCGTCATATACTACTTATATCAATATAAGTAGTATACACCGCACTGGAACATATCCATAATCTAATCTTATTCGATTACAACAGTCTATTTAGCTAAGAAAATTATTATCAGATACTTATGAATACTATTTAATTTGATTTTCAAAGTACGATACACATTCCAAAGCTTTAACTAAGAAAAGAATAATCTTCTCATATTTTAATTCCGCATAAATAACTAAAGTAGTCGATTTCTTTCATTATATAATCAACTTATTGGAACTAAGAATAATGTGTGGAAGTTTTTCCCACCTTTTATGGTCTACCATCCGATTCAGTCACTGTATTTATTCGTTAATTTTTGATTAACACATTAGGATAAGACCATATAGGAAGTTTGATTTCTAATATTTAATTATTTTAACACATAAATATTGGTACAGGGAGGCACCAAATACATATGCGCCACACAAATCTCATTTGATATGTGTGAGGGTTGTGATACTCCCCGGGTGCCCAAACCGAAGCAGGTGGTTTTCTTAGGGGGCCACACCCGGAGCCTTCGACCTGAAGGTCTGATCCACACGGCAGTGGAGCAACGTAAGGAGATGCAGTCCCATGATAGCCGGTGACCAACGATTGGTTTATACTCCATTTGTTCCTTCAGGATACTGGAGCCCATGTGAAGCATTGGTTTGGAATCAGGGATTTCCAACTCCCCTAAGTGGACTCTCCGCGTCCACCAACATTCGCTTTTCATCCCCTCAATTTCTTAAACAACAGTAGTGTCACGAGAAGGTAGTGAGTAGGACTTCCCTGGCAGAGGCTATATACTCGTGGTCA